ACACAGAAATTTTTCTTATTCTTCGGGCTTTTGACATTGTTATATTATAAAACAAATATAAAACATTTTTTCCGTATTGATATATAGTTATATCAACACTCGTGGAAGTTGGGAAAACTCGAAATTGTGTGAAAACACTCCGCCCTTCGGGCGTCGTGTTTCCACACAATTTCTCGTTTTCCCAATTTCCACTCGTGTGATATAACTGTATATCAACACGGAAAATGTTTTATATTTGTTAAATATATATATATATATATATATATATATATATATATATATATATATATATATATATATATATATATATATATATATATATATATATATATATATATAATTGTATATATATATTAAGAACCATAACATGTTGTCAAATGTTTTGCGGGAAAAGAACTTCAATGTACGGCAGCTTTCCCACGCAGTACGTCACAAAGCCCATGGCTATGCTTTTGGCTTAAGAGTTAAGGCCATGCTTTTGGCTGTTTTATGTGAAGGGTTTTTTAATAAATTACTGATTACAGTAAGGCTTTTTGTAATGCTATACTGGGAAAATAGTCACATTGTTAGGGGTAGGCTTTGCTTTAAGCTGAATAATTTGACCGTCCAGAAATTCAGTATGTCCGAGCTAAAATTGACCCTCCAGCCGTTATTCGCGCCCTGACTTAGGCTGGCCTTGTAAATCACATGTTTTCTGTTTCTTAGACACAGGATGAACAGTGGAAATTATTCCTCGAAGGTTCGATGTTTGAAGACCATTTCGAGGAATTGGAAAAGATATGTCAAGAGGCATATGGCGGACACTCAGAACTCTTTGATAATGAGTTCCTTCGACCAATGTGTCTGTTGTTACAGGAGCTAAGAACAGCAGCAGAGGTATGTTGATACAGGACAAATATTCTTGGAGAAAGGTTGTTTGCATGCATGCAAGACATGTTCTTCAAAATTAATGCTAATCCAAAAATTTTAAATCATATTTTGATTAGTAAAAAACAGATTTAAGTGCCGTATCTTGCAATATTAATTGACTTCCAATGTAGCTTACATGACCTTGATAAGAGTTTTGTATTCAAACTTTCACACTCAATTCACCAAAGCCTCATTAATTTTCAGAAATTTTTCACAACTCTTGGCAAAGAGGAGGAAGTATGGCTACCTTGTTACGAAAGATTTGTCACATCTGTCATTCACTTATCTCGTTTGGATATCCAACTGCACAAAGGAGATTTCTACATCCATCTTAACTTTGGATCTCCAGGGGAGATTATCATTAAATATTACAATTCGGGTGAAGTTTCATCATTGCCTTTGGCAAAGAGTGAATATGAGAACATTTGGGCTCACAATTGGACTGAACGCATGTCACAACAAATGAAACAGCGATTTCTATTTATGAACTGTGTCGTTACAGGGCATGCCGGTCGAGGTCTTGAGAGAAGGCCTTGGAGGTACCTAATGTCTTTTGATACAGGGCATAGACGCCATGGCAGTAAAGACTTTAGTGAAGGGTTGAGTCCGAGAACAAGCAGCGCCAGTGCATTTAGTTTGTTTTTGGATCTTGGAGCTAAACCAATGAGCGCTCTTGATGTGAATTTTGAGGTTTTGCACAGTAGGGTTATGTGTATGCCAGGTGAGTAGGGACTGGTAATGGTATGGTGCATTAGTAGCAGTGTTCCGGATGTTGGTTAATATTAGAGCACCACCAGTACTCTGCCATTGACAAGTAAAATTGTCTGGCATTAGACCATAGATATCTTATATAAACTACCAGGTGATCTTGATACGCGGAAAAGTACTGGCACTAGTTGTCAAATAGAAATCCATTTTATGATTAAAACAACTGAATATCTCCTGTAATATACTTTATTTCGATTCCATATTTTTGTCAGAGCTATAGTTCTCATAACCAAACATAATTACAATATTTCAACTAGTTTCATAAAGAATAATGAAAGATATAATTGACTGAATACATCAAAATGGATTTCTATTCGGACAACCCTTTCTGAGCGCTGATTGGCTAAAATACGAACACGAGATCACCTGGCCCCTAGATAGCGCATCTCTTTTAGTAAAATTGAAGCCAAGAATATTCCAGCGGTTACCCCATTTGAATAGATGGCGGCCATGTTGGAGTTTCCCACTCGCTAATAAACGCTTAAAAAACAACAATAACTTTCATCATTTGAATCGTTTGAAAATGTATTTGGAATAGGTTTAACTTAATGTTTAAGTTCCCTGTTTAAGAAATAGAAAACATACGAGTCTTCTCATTTCATGGGAATATCCTGAGTCTGCAATCACGGCTTCAATTTTTGAATTGCAGAATAATTAGATGCACTATCTAGTGTATATAAGATACAGTATCTATGCATTAGACAGAGTGAAACAATAAAGACTACAACTTAATAGGTTATCTGGACACATGGTTTGACAGCCAACTGGGTGCCAGCGTTCTCCCTTGATGAGTAAAATTGTTTGGCATTAGACAGAGTAAAGCCTGCCGCACACGAGAGCTATCTGCTCAGCAAAAAGTTACTCGTGCCTGTTAGCTCAGCCGATAGCTCACCGTGTGCGGGTACATTTTACTGAGTTTTTTGCCTCATGCAACCTTTTCTCACGTATCAAACATGTTTGATCGGTGAGCTATCAGCTGAGCTAACAGGCACGAGTAACTTTTGGCTCAGCAGATAGCTCTCGTGTGCGGCAAGCTTCAGACAGTAAAATAGGACATACAACTTCATTGGTTACTATAGAATACGTAGTTCTTATCAGAGTTTAGTGCTTTTCACTAGTTGACTACAAATATGTCATGTTCAAGATTCGTCGTTTGAGTCATTCCTTATCTTGGTCTCACATTTGACTGAGCCGAAATTATTACCAGACAACTCAGACCTCTCAACTTTGTAGAGAAGTTAAGAGTGAGATTGGGGATGTGGATGACACCTTTGTAAAAGTCCGGGGGTCTGAAATGGCATTTCGTACATTATGAGAGTTGGTGTTTTTTAATGAAATACGTCATTGCTTCATAACGTCCTTTAAGACAAGGCACTTTAGTTATAATAACTGTATTTCTGTGACATACAATAATGAGCTTTAATTTGCCTTTGATAATTTACATATAGACTTCTGCTCCGACTGATGCTTCCTTTTGTCCGCCGTATTTACATATGCGTACTATTTTGTATCCAAGTTGCGGGCAAAAGCCAAAATGTCGGGCCGTATATGCAGGAACAATAACACGCGATTATATATTCGATTCGCGATCCGTATAATGATTAATAATGTGATTTAAGAAAGAATATTATATTTATTTATTGAAAAAATACTATGAAACTGCCAAATGCGTGAGATTTACAAAACGTGGCGTGAGAGCGTGAGAGTGAAGCGAATTGCGTGAGACTCACGCCAAATGCGTGAGAGTTGAGAGGTCTGCAACTACACACGTAAAATTGCGGAAGTTGTCACAGATCTGCGAACAAGTTGTAACAAAGTTGTTGTCAAGCCAATATGAGGACTGCTTGTTCTCAGTTGTTGTGACAAGTCTGGAAAAAGTTGTTGTCACCTTGTTACAAGGTCAGTAACGGTAACAGACTTGCTACATGTTGTCCCAACAAGACTAATACAGGCTTTTCGTAACAAGTTTGCTACGAGCTAAGTAGCTTGTTGTCATCTTGTTACGTGCAGATGATATCAGACTTGTTGGAACAATTTGTTGCGAGTCTGTTGACCTCATCATCTTTGTAACAAGATGATAACAACTTGTTCCAGACTTGTCATTTGCTGGGTTACAAGATTTCCAAAAGGCACAACAATATTGACATGGTCTTCTTTCTCTCTGATATTCAATGATGTTATAGGTACGAGAGACACAAGGGGTGCTCCAGTGATATTTGTGGATGGTAGCAAACCTGAATGGCAGTTACCTGACTTTAATAGTGAAGAAATTGCTCGAGTCTGTTTATATTTTTATCAAATACCCAGGTGTGTGTCCATGAAAGGTTTCCAATATTGATCCAATGGACCTATTCCCTAATGAACAAATTTTTTATCTAGACAAGTCTAGACAAAAATTTCATCACAGCTTGAAAGAGCATCACAAATTAGTAATATTCCGAAGTTTCGTTGCGAAATGTTGTAAAATGCGGATAATACAGCCCTGCGTAGTTTGCCGTTTTTCAGTCATTTTGTATTACGCACGGGAAATTGATACCCTTTTCAGAAAACGGAAGTGTTTTGCAAGTGCAAACTCTAAGCAACGCAAAAATTTCACTTTGATCTATCATTTAACCTTTCCCAAGGGGAGGTGTATGACGTTTCAGGGGAGGTACAAAAAATCTCGAGGGAGGTGCAAAAAAAATCCGGCCATGCTTTGTAGCTCAGTTGGTTAGAGCACTGCACCGGCATTTGCAGGGCCACACCCTTCTGGAAAGGACGTCATTTGACTATAGAGCCTTGTTTCGTGTATGTGAGATTAGTTACATCCAAGCCTCAATCGTGAAAACGAGGCTCTACAGCCAAATGACTTACTTTCCGGAAGGGTCTATTGCGTATCACAGGAATCGCACCCCAAGCAACTGAAGTGAATGCATGTCATATTCCACCAAAGCCCATCTGGAAAGGTTTTTGCTCGAAACTTTCATAGCTATAACCATCATTTTTAAAGTTAACTTCTTGTAAAATGAAACATTTTTCACAACATTTGAACTTATTTTTAGGGAGGAAATATCTAAGCTTGGTCTATCAGTGTTGATTGATACTCGGAATGCGGACGATAAGAAAAGGACGTTGCAAGTCATTGGTGAAGCTCTGATATATTTTGAGGTTAGTATTTCGGAAAACAATATTTGGTTAGTTCTTAGCGGAAAGTTTGTCTGATTGCCGCGTTGTACACAATTGTCAGATTAACTATATTGCACAAGTTCCCGGACGGGTATACAGTAATTTAGGCCAATCACTATTGGCGTAGCGTTTCAAGGAAATGGAGTAACATTCCGGCATTTTGACGGCGGCGCTTGTTTGAGGGCGGCCGTCAAAATATTTTATTTGTTAGCGATAACAAGAAATACTAGCAGCAAAATATAATATAAAAACATTAAAATGCAGGAGAAAAGGATTTCCGAGGTTTGTTAAAGATTGCAACCTCGTACCCAGGCCGTTTTCCGTCCGGGGGCGGCGCTTAAACGAGTAAATACGATCGGTCTATTAAAGAAAATGAATGAAATCAGCCTAGTACCAGTCGTTCTGAAGCAAGCGCGAGAAAACGTGGATGTAGTACGAGACTGGGACCTAGGTGTGACGTCACCGCTGAAGCGTTCCGCACAGCACACCCAGGCATAAAACTTTTAAGACTCATTTAAATATATCAAAGCAGCGAATAGAGAGAGAGCCTGGGACTAGGCTGGAATGAAATGCTTGAGTGAAGTCTCAAACAAACAACATGAATAATTTACACACGATGGCGCCTTTGTGTCAAGAAAATAATATGGATAATGTGTCAATATTTGTTTTCGGCGATGTTGCGACCGGCGGCACCTGCTTTATTAGCAAATACCGGTACCTGTTCGTCTCGTTATGTTGGGATTTCACTACATCCCGGGCGTTCTTTGTCAGTGGCTATAGTTGAATTTTTATAAAATAAACTGATCCCAACCCCCGAACTAAATGTCTAATAAACAATTTGAGAATTTAAGAAAAGTCGGGAAAAAACTTTGAAAAGTCTGCTAAACCGATCCTCGTTTCAAAAATAAACCGAGCCGGAACTCGTTTCACTTCGCACGCAACGCCTTTAACCAAGGTGCTGCTTTAACGAATACGCCACAGGCAAGCTCGCTCGGAATACAATCGCAAAAAAAAACATTGTATACTTTAATATAGTGCTAAATAGGAAATATATAGTTTACTACACCGGGCACTGGCAAAGAACGCCGGGATGTATAGTAAAATCCGTTATTGTAGGGAGTGTTGGTAATGCGTGTCGTTTTCTCCTCTGTGACCAAGGTTTGATTCCAGTTGTCTGATCATAATTTTGCCTCATGCAGTAGAGTGCTTTTCCAGTCCGAGTGACCACACCAAACACCACATGAGTGACTGTCCGTCTGGTGGTAAATAAATGCAATGGAAACCACAGAATAATAGTGGAAACTTACACTACGTTCACACTTAAGTCTGATTTCCACTGTTGCGTTTTTCATACGCACGTACACGCACGTAAAACTTTGAATCCTTCTATTTTTAAATATTTTACAAATTAGTTAACAAATGCACATACTAAAACTTGCGGAACACTAAATTATGTTGCCTTATTTATTTGGTTATTTCATAGGTAACATTTAAACGGATTTAAAGTTTGACGTGCGTATACGTACGTATGAAAAACGCAACAATGGAAATCAGCCTTTACGCCGGAGCCATTTGAAAACGGCGCGGAAAAGTCACAATTATTAACCGTTGCGTGATCACGATCATTACGAGATGAAAACGGAGCGCTTGGCGCCTTCGTGCGAACAGCGGCACCTTTTTTTATCTTGCACCATTTTAGCAGTTCTTAGTATTTTTTTACTTGAGAATTTTTTTTTTTTTTAAATTTTTTTTTTTTACAATTTGAGCTCATTTTGTGAAACCGCATCGAAACTCTGTAGGCTCTTTCCACTCATTGCAAAAATCAACTCCCAAATATGGTTAAAGTGAACATTCGGTGAAAGCTCTCGTAGCAAGCTTGCGAGTTGACTCGTTCGATGAATAGAAAAGACTACAAAAGAGGCTTATAGTGAGAACCAGCGTGGCGCCATTTAATATTTCGCTCCGGCAAAAGATGACAACCGTCTGTATGACCATATAAAATTTCTTAACCAAACCATATAAAATTTCTTAACCAAAACCTGCCTACACCAAAACTATACGCCTAAGTTGAAAAAACGAACCATTTCCAAAAATGTCAAACGTTATATAGCACTACGGTGGAATGCGGACAAAAATTAAATCTGGAGGACCGGCACATAAATCTTGTGCCCACGAAAGTAAAATGACGTCTTTATAGGAATTTAAGAGGATTTTTAAATTCCAAGAAACCGACCCACGCAAAAGATTCTGTTAATAGCACTTCAAGTAGATTTGCACATGTTTCCCGAGGGCAAACCGCGATCTTCCGACGCTCACCGGGAACTCTCGAAATTAGTTTCGAAACGAATTTGCCAAGTTGAAGTATCAGGAAATGTTTCGTGAAATCCTTTAAGTGCAGCGATTAAAAGGGCCGTGGCTGTGTTGTTCTTATTATCTACATCATTAGCTTGAAAATTTTCTTCTATCTTGTCATTTGAAGAAAAGATTCAAGTTTTTGTCATTCAAGTTCTTGTCATTTGAAGAAATAGATTCAAGTGTTGCTATATTTCACACGCCGTACCTTTGCACCGTTCATGTTATTTACTGAAGTAGAATTGATAGAGCTATCAACTACTGTCCTCATTAACGGTTCTGTGGGGTCAGGACCGGCGCTAAAGGGGGGTGGGTATAACACCCCCCCCCCCCCAGTCATCAGGTAATCGGCAAAATATTGAATCACAGTCGGCAAAACATGGATAATGATGATTTGGATAGGAAGAAAAAAATAATTGAGTGACACCAATGAAAAATTAAGAATGATAGCTAAAAGGTGGAGAAATTTACGAAAGAATTTGGGGAAAATGGAACGAAGAACGATGGTTAAACACAAAAGTCAAAATAAGTTGATAGAAATATGTTGTCGGGAAATCTTTTTATGTTGAATTTTTGTTGGTCGAAAACCGATTACCTTAGCCCTATATGTTAACTTAATATTCAAAACAAAGTAAACTTCCTGACAACTTGTCTATAAACTTGAAAATGTTTCTTCAGAAATCTTGTCTGGATCGATAGGTGTTTACTTCTCTGACTTGCAGAAATACACAAACCAAAACAGCGAGTTAAATTTTAACCGAAAGTTTTAAGAACCGGCTCCTTGAAAATAATAAGTACTATAAAAATATATTGAAAATCAAAGCCAGTTTATATGTGTTTCGAATTTTCAGTCCACGCGTCCAGTCCTAGTCTCCTTCGCCACAAAGAGCAGCTGCGAAGGAGACTAGTCCAGTCCTTGTTTATGTACTATTTTGGTAGAAACTTCGATGTGTGTAAAAACCTTTTCTATAACACCACCAAAACATGAGAATACGAGGCTTTTGTGGTTTTCAGGGATCGTTGCTAAGCTATAGGATTATGTACTATTTAAAACACAAACAGGAGTGCTTTATCAGATATAAAGCTCGAGACTAGCGCAGCTCGAGTGTTTTATATCTGATATAGCATGGACTACATGCGAGTGTTTTAAATGGCTTACAAAGCTAAAGTTTATGTAGATGAACATGTTTTTTTATCACATATAAAACCACCAACACGTCAGTGATTTCTTTTGTCTTTCCCTCATACAGTATAAAAAAATAAGCTTATTTTCCTAAGAGGTTCGGTAAACCGAGACTTCCTGTCTCGAAGGAATTTACTTTATACGATCATTATCTCTGTGAGAAAATCTGTTTGTTTTTCAAAGTGAACGCCTCGCCCTACATTATATGTCGTACGAGAGCAAAGGTTTCTTTAATCAGAGGAAATTTTAACTTGTTTCATGCGAATTTTGGATTAAATGGACTGGATGTTTGAATCGATGGTACATATGATTTATATTCGTTGTTTATTTTGATCTCATCATGAAATTGTGGTAAAATTGTTTGGATTATTTAGCCGTTGGTGAGCTTATAATACTGAGGACACAAGACTATCCAGTTATACCGATACGAACAAGCTACAAAAGCGCACTCTATACTGGTAACGGTCCCGGGGACAAATCAAGTCTAGTATGTTCCTGAAACTCTGAAAGCTCGTTTTTACTGCATTTTGACCAGGGCGCTTACATATATAAGCGCCCTGATTTTGACGGATAATCCGTCGTGTCAAATTAGTATGCGCGCACAGCAAGAAAGTTGAAGAAACTGCGCGAAGCAGCTGGTTATGAAATTATAAATCTCGAACCGCCTGTGCCAGCGTATAGGTAGTGACGATAAAGGCTGGTCCACATCAGCAATCTTGTCGGCGATGTTGTATTTCTGACGGATGCAAATGAGTGAACTCGCACACAAAAGTATAGAGTCTCTTTTCAGAAGTAAACAATTCTAAGTCTTTTGCATGTCATTCATTCAATCACATTTGCCAGGAGGATTTCAGAAAAATCACCGACAGAATTGCTAGTGTGATTCAGGCTTCAACACTAAAGCTGAGAGGGATTCAACTACTTGAACAATACAAGGAAAATTTTGTACAAGCATTTGTATTTTTTACGTAGTTGATCCGCTGTCAGTCCGCAGATTTCTGGTCTTATAAAGTTCATGTATAGAAGAAATTAATGTGGCCAGTTTAATCGGGCAACTGAGATGGTATAGTTTGTCTGATAATTGGTGTGCTACATAAATGCGGTAAACAGATAGCTACTCCGTCAACACAATTAAACTATCAGTTTGCAGTACTACAGGGAGTACAGACGAGCTCTACTGAGTCTAGTCCTAACACTATCATGTATTCTATTGAAGTTAAAACATACTTAATTGGAACACTCATCAAATCTTTATTTTGTTAATTCAGAGCTTGAAATACCCTGGATTAAGCTTGAAATGTCCCCCGTATTAAATGCGTGACTGCTAACTCTCACGCATCAACTCTCATGCACGTTTGACCGGGGCTCCGGAGTCACTCATTGTTACCGGGATATTTAAGCTCTTGCTTAACAAAATAAAGGTTTAATGAGTGTTCCAACAACGTTTTGACTTCAATACAATACACGATAGTGTTGGGAAATCGTTAGCAACAGCTGACCAAGGTCGCGTGGCTGCCAACTCTCATGCGTTCTCATTCCCGTTCGATCCGGGCTTTCTAGGCAAATGTTCGAGTGGTTCTTTGACTGGATCAACCGATGATGGCCCTTTTAATGGACGTCTAGGAAGAATAGTTTCGAACTGATAGAGCTAGAGCTCTCTAGTATGTAACTGTAGTAGTTTAAGTTTTAATACATTTGTTTTTATTAGGAGATGCGTCCTGGCGGCATTCATATTGCCTATATTCTTGGAAGGAAGGATTCGTATTTGTTGATGTTTAGTGCGAATAAATTGAAGGAACAATTAAAATTTCAAGTATGTATAATTTATGTTGCGCGCGCGACATGGGAGTATATGCAATCAGTCTGGATGACGTTGAATTACCCCGCCCCATTTCTTAACCATCGAGTGCCAGATTCTCCCCTTAACGAGTAAAATCGTCTGGCGTTGGACAGGGTGCATTGCCACTTGAATGGTAGGCTTGAAGGGTAGGGAAACAGGATGAATGGACAGATAGTCTGATTAACTCATCGAGGACCAGCACCTCTCCCAATGGCATTAGACAGAGTAAAATAATAAACTGGGACGCATTCATTGCCACTTGCATACAGGAACTATCTAACCATGTGGCCGGAGAAAATCGACTAGCTCAGTACGTAAAGTCGCATTGTATAATTGACAATTATTATATAAAGTATAGTGCTTTATAGAGATTCCGAGCACTGATAAAAGTGATAATCTCACATGTGAGATTATTCATGATAATCTCACATGTGAAAATTATCGCTTTTCTGTAAAAATTATCGCTTTTCAAAGACTGTCCTTTATATAATAAACAGAAAAATACACGGGTGCTTGGAAATACCAGATTTATTTCTCGTGTTGAACATGATATCTCACTCGTTCGCTGCGCTCACTTGTGAGATATCATGTTCAACACTCGAAATAAATGTGGTATTTCCGCGCACCCATGTATTATTCTCTATTTATGTTTCCCATTTCTTAAAACATACGTACAATTGTACTCCAGTTTAAACTCCTCTCGTCTTTGGATGATTTGGTCACTTCAATTAACCTGGATCAAATTCCTACTACGTTTGGAGGAAGTTTCAACTATGATCATGACGCTTGGCTACAATTTAGATTGGTAAGATGAACGCTAGAACGTTACTACATTCATTCATATACCGAAATTTCCACCGGGGTAAAAACTAAGAAGCTATCGTCATGGGTGGCTATCAAGGAGGCAGAGAGGGAAGGTGATGGTCCCTCCTGGACTATTAATGATATTGCATGCTAGCCCTTTCCACGATCCTTTATTATCATTATATAATAAAGTCTATGTTACACCATAGCCTATCGAAGGGAAGATGGCTGTGAAACTCATTAGAATAACAATATAACTCATTATCTATGTTGGTCAACTTTTATTCATAATCTGGTCCTTTCACCGTTTCGTGTGTATTGTATTTTTACCAAATCCACCAATAGCAATTTCCAGTTTCCCTATTGTTCGAGTCACGGATAGGTGACTTTCCTAAAACATTGCTATTAAAGGTCTTTGAAAAGTCTTTGACAATAGGCAGAAAAAATATTTGAAAGTCTTTGAATTTTTTTGGTCTTGTATACTACGAACCCTGTTTAATGAATTCTTTCTATCAAAATAGACTTGAATATCATTGCCATTACTGTGTCCTTTAAGGATGTAATAAACCGTGGGCCATCCTCAGAATATTCCGGAGACTTCTTTTTCAATAACATGGCTGCATGCCAGGACAGGACAATGGTCTGGGTCAGAAATTTCAGGGTGGTCGTAAATAGGTCAAGTGGGTAATAGTGTCAATATATCTCTGTAATCAGTAGACAAATGATCCAGACTATTTCACATCAATCATCGTAACTTGCTCCGAAGCTGCGATTAAGTGGGAACCAGGCTTTATATTCTTACGCTTTCGTTTATTATGTATACAGCTCACAATAAATTGATTTTTAAATTTGCAAACTGGGAGCATATTTTTCAAGCTTGCCCGGTGTGGATATACACTCAGAGTAACATCACAAGCATCATATTCACCTGAGTACATTACACCAACACAGAAAAAATCATGATTACTAGATTACATTGATATCGAAGGAACTAGATTCTGTTCCGAAATATCGCATACTCGAACCGACCTGACCGCGTTGCTCAGTTTGAAGAGCATTGGGCTAGTATTCCAAAGGTCGTAGGTTCGATTCCCACCGTGGTCAGGCATATTTTTCAAGCTTGCCCGGTGTGGATATACACTCAGAGTAACATCACAAGCATCATATTCACCTGAGTACATTATACCAACACAGAAAAAAAAAGAACTGGGAGCAGTTGTGAAACTTTACTACTAATATTATTTTTGTGCTTAGAAACAAGAGCCGTTCATGGCAGGTTGCCGCAGCGCGACAAAGCTCGCTATAGCTGCAGTCGAACAACTCGGAATTGGAAAAGGTGGAGAAACTGTGGAAGAATGCCAACAACTTTTGGAAGACCACGAACGCAAGGTTACTGCCGTATTTTCAGATAGCCGCCTTTCGGCCCTGCAGTTGGAAGGTGAACAGCTGGTGGCGAACATGAAACAGACAGATGCCACAGATAAGACCTCGGATTGGAAGGACACCATGGAGATCGTTTCAAAGCTGTATTTTAAAATGAACCAAGTGTTTTCGAAATTGGATGTACTTTGTCGGAAAAGAAAACGAGAATTGGAGGATTGTCTGCAGTTGAAATGTTTCCAAGAGGAACATGCAAGGGTAAGAGATTTTTTTCTTTACAGCATTTGTAAGTGACGATCCGATTAATGCAGAGCTTATCATAATCGCCGCTAATCGGCAGATTTAATTAAGGTATATCATTTTTCGCAGCTGTCCTGGATTCTCGCCTTGGTGTGAGCAGTGTAAAAAATCTCACGATTTGGTTTGCCTTTATAAAAAAGTTCGCTCTCTCGTTGATCACTCGCCTCGCATGCTTGTGAGTCATGTGACTCGTCATAAAAGTGTCAATGATCGTTCTAACTTCGGAATGTTCCGACTATGTCAGCCCAGTTCGCTACATAGCCTCGATAGCTCAACTATAGGTCAATGGGAAGAATTACGTGAAGAGAAAATTTTCACTCATGATTTTATGCACTGCCGACGTCAACTGTAAAAGTTGAATCGAGTGGAATTTGATCAACTTCCACCTTCGGGACTCAGGTCCGCCTGTGAACAGGGGCGTAACACAAGTGTTCATATTTGGGGGGGGGGGGGGGGGGTAAGCCTTACTTTTGCCAAGCTTCAACACTTTGTGTACCAATTTCTATATATTTAGGTTGTGGAGTGGATCAATGATGTTGGAATGACTTATCTTGAAAAGCCAGTTGAGTTAGCAGAATCGTACGGCCAGGCAATCAGCCAGAACAAAAGTTTGGAAAAATTTATCACCCCTGCTAAGGTATGTAATCTGCAATATTGTTCTGTGTGAAGTAAACGCAGACCTGGAAAAAAGTGGGATCTCGGGATCCTGAGGAACTTGCCTTAGCACGAAAATTGAGGAACGTTTACCTAACAAACATTCACTATTTACAGGGATACATCCTGCAAGCTCAAGACTTGCTTGAGGACGGCAGCAGTATCGCTCAGTCAGGGTCTGCTGACAGTATTAGTGTCAAAGAAATGTGTAAAGTTTTAAAATCAAAATTAGATAGTTTCACAACGAAACTTGAAGAAAGAAGAGTGACTCTTGTCACGTGCATGGAATTTCATCAAATGGTCAGACAGGTACTGTAATAATAATAATTATTTTTATCCAGGATACCCAGTGGGATCCTTACCGACCAGATTTAATAGGTGTCCCTTTTCTATAATATTCTATTTTCAAACTTTTTGTGGTTTGACTATTTTCCAGTACTGTGGCCAAATTTGGACATAGATTGAGTATGGAGTGTCACGGCGTGAGCATGACGTGTACATATGTAGGAAAATTTGAGGACACGAAGTCCTATTAAGTTACACATCTGGTATATACTTAATCTGTGATTTGGAAGCACAGTCAAATATTGATTTTATTGTAGTGTTCAAACTGGAGTATTCACGCGCTAAAACACATGGCCCTGATGAACATGGAAGCTTCAAACACCGCACACGGTGTGGCCTCTCTCAAGGACAATATGGAAGGTTTTCTACAGGAATTCCCAATGTGGCCAGAAGACAGACTGAACAAGTTACATGAACTGTCTGGTAAACTGCCGAACGAAGAACTGCAGAACCAGGCGGAGAAATGTAGTTCCGAATATAAAGAAGTCGAAGATATGTTTGTAAGGCGGCAAGAGACATTGCAAAGAGCTGCAGTTAGAGTTCAGGTGAGAGGGATGTTACGTGTTTGCATAGCAGGAATTAATGGGGGATCCTGCCATCTAGGATACCAGAAAATTTTCAGACCCGACTTAACTGGCAAAAATTTGAGGGCATTACGTAATGCTAACATGCACAGAAAATAAATTGTTAAGAAGAATATTAATGAACTTCGGCAGAAACAAAAATATTATTTACTGTTTGAAATAGAGAGAAGTTAAATAAAATGCTACTTATCTCGGAACCAGGTAAACAACGTCACAATTAGTTTTTTCTTAAACGATGCTCCTGAAATTTTTCTGCAACAAAATGTAAAGGATTTAGAACTATGCAGAAAACTAGTTTCTGGAAATTCTTCTTAGACCTTTTGAAAGTTCATGTCTTCGTGCGGTTCCCACACTTAGCTTCTAATTTCGCTTCAATAAACCTTGCGTTCCAGTTTGCGTGGAGTTCGCTTCCTTTATACTAAACCAAACCATTTTTCTTTTAGATACCAGGCACGACGATAACAAATGGTGTAAGCGAAGGTAGCTCGTCAACCTCCACATCCAATTCAACATCAGGAGTACACGAAGATGAAGGGGAGCTCGACAGTGACGATGACGAGAAATTAGATTTACCTGAAGATTTATCACCGACTAAGAAAGTCGCCAGATCTGATAGCAATGAAGAACAACAGCATTTGTTTTATAATCTTAAAGATGTAAGTAGGCACCGATTTATACCAGCTAGAACGTCATGATCTGGACGAATTTAACACAATAACAGAAAGGTGGTTCGTCGCTATGCATTGGTCGTCTTGGCAAATGATCTGTCTTTGTGTAGTATATATGGCACCCCAGGCGGGAAAACTATCGAGCTTGGTTTGTTGCCAGAACCATTACCTGCATAGATTGCCAACCAGTCTAATGTACCCGCCATTTTCGTTTCCAACTTTTTCATTTTGTTTCTAGACGACTGGCGAACTAGATGAACAGAGCTATCAAGAACTTTCGCCAAAAACTAAAGAGTAAGACACCTCTAAAGTATATATTTAGTTTTCTAGATATTCAATCAGTGGAATTCTAAAAATTAGCTGTCAAACAAAAAAATGCCTGTCAATTTTTTTTTCCGCAAAAATGTAGATCCCAAAACAATTTTTCCACCTCTGAGCTTTATGTTGTTTAATGCGTGTCTTTGCAGGAAATTGAAATATATAGTTGGGGAAATGGTTGATACAGAACGAGATTATGTTAAAGCATTGGAATATATTATTCAGGTAACTAAATGCATGTACAAATTACAAATTTATAGGCGAGGATAGCTCAGTCAATGTAGCATTGATCTGGAGATCGAGAGGTCCCAGGTTCAATTAATTTCCTCGCCGTGCCAACTCAGCGTAGCATGGTTTCAGGTAAAACTGGACAGTGTGATAAGTTACTGGAAGCTGACGGCAGGCGTAGCGCTCCGCCTCAGCGAAACATATCCAAAGTGCAAAGAGGATAGACTCCCAGCGAGTACGGCCGATACCTACAACTTTTGACCGACTTACTTCCTAAAATGTGCAAATATATTTTCGTGTATTTAGAATTACGTGAAACAAATGGATAGTGATGATTTACCCGCGTCTCTGAGAGGAAGAAAGAACTTAGTGTTTGGTAACATTGAAAGGTTATACGACTTTCATCAACGGTAAGATTGCGCCATAATCAACACATCTCGGCAAAACAGGCCAGGCTTCGTATCAATATTATATATAGCATTCACTAATTTTGATATATTTTTGCATAGGCATTTTTCACAAGAGTTAGAACGATGCGTCGAAAGTCCTTTTCAAATCGGCGATGCTTTTTTAAAATGGGTGAGTAGAATGACAAGAATTACATTATCAATTCCTTGATTTTAACCAACGACTTTGAAAACGAGGCTATAGACCAAATGTACTAACGTCACGAGTGTCCTCCAGATGCTCCCTAACAATATTTGTTCGGGTACAACAACAGCGCAAAAATAACCATTTTAATACAAAATTATTATAAACTTTTACAAAATTTGTTTTGTTTACAAGAGTTATATTATGCATAGATTGCTAATTTGTCCTCCAGGAGGCTCCAGTTACATCATCACCGGCGCTGTGACGTCATGTGCAATGGGTCTATATCTGTAATTCTTATTTTATAGGAGCGACAGTTTTTCTTGTATGCGCTGTATAACAAGAATAAACCAATATCTGACGAACTGCTACGTGACCATGGCAGTGTTTACTTTAGGGTAAGGATTTTTGCTAGTAAGAAATCAATCTACATTTCCTTGGTAGTAAAACATTGCTAAGTGTATCGCACGACATTCTTAATGTGTTCTCTTTTGTTTTATCAGAAAAGACAAGAGGAGCTTCAAGACAAGTTAGATCTTTGTAGCTACCTCATAAAACCTGTCCAACGTATTGGGAAGTATGCTTTGCTTTTGAGGGTAAGAAATATAAATATTTTGAAATACTGTATTCCGAATACATTATAATGGCAATCTCCAGCCTAGACCTAGGCCCTTTACTCGGCTGGCTTTGGCAGATTTGGCAACATATACTTACCAAATGCTAGCCCAAAATTGACCAAAGCTGTCAAACTCAGCTGAGTGCGCAATCTCTATTACAATGGTAAATTATGGTATCTCTATTAATATGTTGTTTTACTTTAGGATATGATAAAAGTTATCGAGCTTGATTCGCCATGTGTTACGCATCTACAGGTAAGATGTTTATATTTTACTATTTGAATAGACAAATTTATACATAGCTTGCATATCATTGGATGCAAATTGACCATAAATTTCAGTTCACGTGTCATAAAGCTAAATTTGTCTATTATTGAAAGATAAGACCAGCATAGTCTCCTAACCTTCTCATGTGACGTCATCGCTCGAGCTGATATGCAAAATGAACGGCGAACCTCTATTTTTTAATCGACCATTTTGTGAATTTAGCACGCGCAGGAAATGGTGAAATCTCAACTACGGCATGGAAATGATCTCTTGGCCATGGACTCTTTGCGTGAATGTGATGTATGTATTTACTGTTTATTATACACATTTGCATTAGCCCGTTGTAATAAAGTAACTCAAGTTCATTACAGTTGATTTTAGAAGTCGAATTTATGAAACGGTATTTATTGAACTCTTATTTCAGGTGAATGTTAAAGAACACGGAAGATTATTACGTCAGGTAAGCTATGGAATAAATTGCGCTACACTTAGTTGAAAAATATTTCTGAGTAAAGCTTGACAACAACTTTTACTCATCATATACCAAGCATACAAACCTACTAGTACTAGACTATTAACTAAACGTTTACATTAACGTCACGTCAGAGTTGCTTGTAGAATACTAGATGAAAGAAAATATGCTGCATAGAGTGTAGACTGTCTGAAAGATAAGAGTACTGTACGTACAAATACAGAAATACTTGAAAGATTGAAGCTAAAGAACTTCATTTTTCGTATCCAGGATGATTTTATTGTCTGGCAAAGCAAGAAGAAACATTGTCGAAGAGTGTTTTTGTTTGAAGACATGGTTTTGTTTAGTAAGACAAGAAAGCAAGCAAGTGGCGCAGATATATTTATTTATAAAAGTTCTTTAAAGGTACAGTTTTTTCAGAGGTGTTAGATATTCAAGTCTTAGTACTTATTACCGACCATCATACTGCATGAAAAAGATGAAAAACACTTCGATGTTCCGAGCGCAGGTTTTGTCACAAGGTTGGTAGTCGCTTACTCACTTCCTGGCCACGCTCGCAACGTAGATGTTCACACCAGCTATTGCGCAATAGTACATACGCTGGACGCCATGTTTGTGTTTATTTTTTAGACTGCTGACATCGGCCTGACAGAATCCGTTGGTGAAAGTGGTTTAAGATTTGAACTCTGGTTTCGAAGACGACGGAACGTGAAAGATACAGTTATACTGCAGGTATAGAATGCACTTCTGCCTAATGTACGATAAAATATAACTTTCAGCTTGTATTTTACTGTATTTGGTTATTCTTGATCAATGTTGGACAATGAAATGTAGCTACACATTTCATTCCTCGTCCTTCGCGCTTGGGGAAGAGTTTGAAATATTTAGTCACGGATAACCTGGGATTACCATAGCATTATTTTACAAGCCATATTCTTTGTTTTAGACAATTAAAAGATTGTAAATTCATATCTTGTTACCTGACCTCATATGAGGTTGTTCAACATTCGTTCAAACTTCGAAAGGAATATTTTCCCATTTACATCTTCTTTTCTTTGTCAGGCTAAAAACATGGAAACAAAAACGTCATGGGTGATTGAAATCACCAGACTCCTGTGGAGGCAAGCAGTCAGAAATAGAGGTAATAGTTTGTTCATACAATCCAGCTCTGTCAATTTTATCTGATCTACTTTCCCTACAGCTGCAGGTCAAGTGTTAGTGTGTTCCAGTAGTAATGTATATTTATTTATTTATTTATTAACTTTACAACCAAACATAAAATAGATTAAACCACTACATAATATGGTTGAAGGTATGGTCAACAGGACATGAATAGCCCCATGTGAAGACCAACCTTAATGAAAACAAACTATAAGAAACATAAATCAAAGACGAGAACAAATATGCAATTTACAGAAAACATGACGAATTACGAACAACAGCTTAAGTTGAAAGAGAATATATATGTATATGTTGTGAATGTATATGTTAGGCGTAAAAAAAACCCTGTGGTTCCGGTTTCATATCGTGAAAAAATTAGGGTCGGTAGGTCGGAAATAAATTTTTTTTTTTAATATTTTTTTCATGGTTTTGCCAGTTTTTTTGCTGGGCGATTTGCAGTAGAGTCCCGACATCAATATTAACTAGAGGTGGGTATTTCCTATGGACGAATTGAGGCAATTTGGTTCAATAATTAGTGTGACAACAGACGCCATTTTGGCACGCTGTATGAGCAGCCCGCAACCACCTGGAGAAAATAGGGTCGCACGGTCAATCGCGTTGAAAAAATAATAGGGTCGGCAGAAAAAAATAGGGTCGATCGGGAACCGGAACCACAGGTATTTTTTTTTACGCCTTACTTATTACTTAACGTTTTTATACTGCATGGCTATAAGGTCAGCCAATTACTCGTTAACGGTTAACGATTAACCAGCGTTCAAGTTTGACGGCTAAATGAAAAGAGGGACATGTCCCCGTGCTGTGCAAGCTCCGAGTTTTTCACCTCCAACTCCGGCCAAAAAAACGCCGGCTCCGGGAAAAAAAGTTTTGCCTGCCGGAGTTTAACAAACCCCGGCTGCGGCAAAATAGGCCAAACTCCGGCGCACAGCACTACCTTCAAACCGGTCAATTTCTATTTCAGAGTACGGTCTTGCCGAAGCAACAACTGGGATCAGTGTTGGAAGTCAACCAGGGGAGCAAGTGCCCACAACACGATCATCAATGTTCGACGAAAGTTCACACTTCAGTGCAACAATGAGCATGTCGATAATATCCAACACAACATACCCCGGTCCTTACTCGAGTCCACTTTTAAATAAACGACGCCTCACTCGCAGAGTTTCGACTTTACGGCGCAGCTCGAATAACCTCAACAAGATACATTCCGATTCGCCGACGACACATGTCGGGGCTACGACGATACATGTTAAACCCTCGCCCGACGAGAACACAGAAGCGAAGCCGGTTGCAAAAAGGACAAAATCGCAGCCGGCTGATTTAACGGATTCAGGAGATGAACAGAGTACGTTTGAACGACGAGCATCACTAAGACAGAAGTTGTTTGGGCCTCGCGGGCGGAATAAAACGCCAGAGGGGTCTAAAGGCTCAGAAAGGGGGTCTAAAGGCTCGGAAAAGGGGTCTAAAGGCTCAGAAAAGGGGTCTAAAGGCTCAGAAAAGGGCTCTTCGGACACCTTAACAGAGAGTAATGACAGTTTAAATTCTTCTAAAGGCGGGAAGCAAAGGCAAAATGATAGTACAAAGACCAAAGGTGGAAAGGCAGGACAAAATAGTGAGAGCAAAAACAGCAAGGGGGGTAAGCCCTCAAAAAGGAGGACACTTATGGGCCGCTTTTCAAGTTCACGACCGCTTAGTGCCGTTGAAGTTACGGACAATAGTTCTAAACAAAACGCACATCAGAGGACTAGATCTGATGCAAGTTTGGTGAAGAAATGTTTAGATGCTGGACCAACTAGTCCTACTCCACAGGCTGGAATTACTCTGGAAAACTCACCGTCTCATGGTGGCTATCATACTGTGGTAAGTCTAGATTACAGAAGTTCAACTTCAAGTACCGACTATATTCACCATTGTAATTAATGACCAATCAGGGAAAATAGTTAGTTCATCAAGCATAGATATCTTATATACACTAGATAGCGCATCTCTTTTAGTAAAATTGAAGCCAAGAATATTCCAGCGGTTACCCCCATTTGAATAGATGGAGGCCATGTTGGTAGTTCCCACTCGCTAATAAACGCTTAAAAAACAACAATAACTTTCATCATTTGAACAGTTTGAAAATGTATTTGGAATAGGTTTAACTTAATGTTTAAGTTCCCTGTTTAAGAAATAGAAAACATACGAGTCTTCTCGTTTCATGGGAATATCCTGAGTCTGCAATCACGGCTTCAATTTTTGAATTGCAGAATAATTAGATGCACTATCTAGTGTATATAAGATATCTATGTCATCAACTCTCAAGCAACTCTTGTTTTCGTTTGACAGAGGTAAGAGAGTTGAGAACTCTCATGCAAACTCTCGCTTTTCAGCCAACTCTCGTCAACTCTCATTCTCCCCAGGACTTAAGCTGACGAGGTTTTAGACTTTACTTTAGATGTAATTTTTTCAAATCTGCTATACCATACGCGGTTCTCATTTGACTTCCAATGTCCACAACTGCTAGACGTCCATACATTTTATCGAGTATTGTATGCCTTCCAATGTTCATACATATAATATTTCTTTAAAGTTTATCCCTTTTCAGTGACTTTGTGCCCTGACGCAACCTAGACCAGACGTTAATTTAATACTGGTCAAGACATGGCCTACCCTGGATCAGGGGTTTCCTGTTTTTCAGAAGCTGTAGCCTGCACTCAGGCGGTGCTGGCCAAAGGTCTGACTCCAGAAAACCTCTGAACCCAGGGTAGACATGGCCGGATTTTGTGGGGAGGTGCACACCTCCCCTGAGATCGTTTTCACCTCCCCTGAGAATTTTTGCACCTCTCCTGAAAAGTCATGCACCTCTTGGGAAAGTTTCAATGATAGATTAGAGTTTGGCATTTTTTGGTTGCATAGGGTCTACAACTTTAAAAAAGAAAGTTTTTCTGTAAAATTGAAACAGTGATATCTCTGTGTCTAGCACCCTTTTAATGCAATGTTTTGAAAGAAACTTTGCAGTAATTGTAATGAAGGGTAGGATTGGATGGGCTGTACAGTCATAATTCATTAATACACTGATACATGTGTACACTACATACATACATCACATCGTTGACTTTGCCTCGTTCTAAGCCCTAACTTTCCATGGGGGTCGTGAGCTAGACCGCTGCACCTCCCCTGAATTTTTTCCACCTCCCCCACTATTTCCACCAAAATCTGGCCTCAGGTCAAGGGGAGAGCGATGGTGCTCAATGGGTTAACAGACTTTGAATTAATCAAAGATTGTCCTTCTCTTTCACAGGTTTGATGATGTTCGAGGACACAAATATTTTTATGATAAGATAACTATGTACTATATTAGTATTAATATAAGTTAATTAATAAGTTAAATTAATCACCAGACAAAAAATGTGCATATGGAACTACATACCACAGCTTAATAATAGCACCGATTTTGGAGGCTAATCAACTTTTGTATATTTTAACAAATTAATGATAAACTAAGCTCAATTTAGCAAATTCAGGTGACATGAAAAATTCACACTTCACTGTGTTATTTTTTGTATGTTTATTCACAGGTCACAGTGTTTATTTTTTTCTGTAAGGTTTGCACCTAAGGATGAATGGTCACTGGCAAAAACAAACGCCGTTGAATGATAGCCAATGAACTAAAAATGGTTGTACAACCATAAAAGAAATGTTAGGGAAATGGGAACCAATTTTCAAAGTCGAAAATGTTTTTAGAATCTCAATTTGCAGCAATTAGGTTAAAATATGTTAGTTGAACTTCAATTTGCACCCCAGTATCTTGCAAAGTGTTTGCCACTGTTAATGCAACTGTATGTACTAATTATTCACCCTTGGATGCAAAATGTGGTAAATGTTCCAATTTCTTACTTTAGTTAAAGGCCCATTTCCACTCGGGAAAATTTTCCGCAGAAACAAAATTTTGTAAAATGTAAATGACCGACACAAATTTTCCGTCGGAAAAAATATTTGAAGTTGAAAATTTTCCTCTTTCAACATATTTTTTTTGAAACTTTTCTGTCTGTGGAAATTTTTCTTGAGTGGAAATGGGCCTTTACAACCTAACCCAAAACCTATGTAGATTTTCTAGAGTAGTACAGGGGGGGGGGTGCACCCCACAAAGTCTCCAGCACAATTCTGAGAAAATTAGCCAGGGATAATGCATTGTTCCAGAAAAGATCCACCCTTGCCTAAGGAGGAAATTTCTCCGGTCAGGGGGAGGGATGGAAAAATCGAATTCTGATGATAGTAAACTGTACTACACATCTAAAAGCGCACAGGTGGTTCCAAGTTGATATCGACAGGCATGAACAATGTTATGCGGCCAACTATGAACAAGTTGTCAACCATGTTGTCCCAAGTTGTTACAGTTGAACAATGCTGTAACAACATGGTGACAATACTGTTCATAGTGGGCCGCACAACCTTGTTCACGCCTGTTGATATCAACCTGGAACAAGTTGTTGATTTTCTCAATTTTTATGTGTGTAGGATCGACGGATGGAGGTTAATTTCTAATTTCCTCTGTGGGGGAGGTGTGAATGTTTTCTGGAATAATCCAGTCACCATCAGAACTGTCATGAAATGTTCCATAAACAATTTGAATTTGAGTTAGCAAACTGCCTACCAGAAAATGTGTCTATGAATTTTTCCTGTCCGCTGTATTAATGTAAAAATTTTAAAGATATACTTCCCACAAATCTTGGGAAATTGTACATAAATCATAGAGAAAAACTCTTTTGCATTTTTTAATGATAATTGATATAACTATGAAAATGCATACAGTAGTTGAAAAGGTCGGTAGAGATCATGCCAAAGGCCAGAATGTCGCATTCCAATATGTTCACCAGCAGAAAATATATTTCTCTTCCTAGCAGCAAAATCCAAAAATAAAAACTTCATGTGCATTGTAATTCATTGTAATTGCATTCTAATCTACCATTGCTCAGGGAACGGATGGTCCCACACATTGCGATCAAATCTCGGTACAAGACAATCTCGATTTGCAAAATGCTTCTACAATTTTCAGACAATAAGTAAATTATATAGCATTCCAGTACATAAGATGACAAAAATTTCCTACAAGGTGCAAGAAAATTTCCTGTGATGATATTTTGTTAAAACATTTCCTGGCAGCGGTCCAGCCAGACATTTTCAAGCAGTGGTGTTCACTCCACTATATCCAGAGATGAGGGTTTCAATTTCATCTACCTCTGGTACCAAGTGTTTCCAGCGCAGTGGTTGTTAGTGCAGGCGCCATTAGAAGTTTGATTCCTGTAATAATGCAGTTGTATGATTATAATTCATGATTCCCCTTATTACATTTTCGTAGTGCTTTGCATTGGGGTTATAGTGGTATCACTGATAAAAATACCGGCCTCAAATGAAAATATTGAATGTTTTCGCGAATATTTTGCTGTTGGCTATCGCGCACCTGACCCTAGCTTTTTTTTTTAAAGTTCTTGCACGGGTCAGGACAAACCAACAAAAAGTAATCCATCTTGAATATCAGTGATAGCACTATAACCACAATGCAAAGCACTACGAAAACATAAGGAGAATCTAGTATTTCACCTCACATTGTGACAATCCTTTCACTTAGGATGCTCCAGTTTGCTCCTGCATTGGATCACAAGGGAGAACTTGTAGAACTATTCTGTCTAAATCATCGATACATTAGTCATGAGTAAAATTAACTATTGTTTAACTTTGTACAATCATCGATACATTAGTCATGAGTAAAATTAACTATTGTTCAACAGTATGGTCTAATACGTCAGATGGCAACATAAAAAAGATCCAATTAATCCAAAATTGCGCAGCCCGATTAATTACAGGGGTGCATAAGTATGATCATATATCACCAACATTAAACGTGTTAGGATGGTTGTCAATCAAAGAACATCTATTGTACAGAGATGCGTTATTGACATTTAAATGTATGAATGACAAAGCTCCACAGTATTTATGTGATAATTTTGAACCACGAAACAGAATTCATAACCGAGATACTAGAAGAAATGGAGACCTGGATATTCCAAAATATAGGACATCGATCGGGCAAAGATTGTTCAAATACCGAGGGACTAAGATATGGAATGGTCTAGATAGAGCTGAAATCAATTAGTGATCTGAACAATTTTAAGACGAAACTTAAGACAATTCTTATTGAGAAGCGATGTCCTTCTTTTTAACTTTTTTAACTCATAAACTATAATATATAGTATAATTTTAGTTCATGTAATAACTTTGATACGATTGTTGTAAATATATATAGTCGATAACTCATAATTTTTTCTAAAATCCATGTAAATTGTCATTGAAAAGCCCATTTTAGGGAATGTCAATTAATAAATTCAAATTCAAATTCAAGCTTTTCTAGGCATAGTTTAACAAAGGTTTCAATTTAGACTTAAGCATACAGGGCCAGCATATGCCTGTGATAGCAGACTTGTTCAGCAAACTCCATTTTCAAATTATGCACCAGTTGTCAAGAACAACATGTAGCAGAACTTCATGTTTTTACTTCACCAGTTCTCCAATCCAGGTTGACGTCAATTTTTCATCTCACTATATACAGAATTTTGTCAAAAATGGACCTCAGAATTGCAATAAGTGATGCTCAAATTAGTCTATACTGAAAATTTCATGATTTTGGACATTCAGGGCAAATTTTTTTCACTGCAGCAAAAGTTCCATACAAATGTATGGTAAACACAAAATTCTCAGAATGCCAGAAATCACAATGTCTAAACATTGTTCAAGCATGACGATTTCGATTCTGGGGTCCATTTCTGAAAAATATGAAGATGAAAAATCGATAACATGACCTCGGATCTGAGAATAGAATATTTACAACTTTGCAAAGCCCCATTCTCACGCTATTGTTTGTAGATATCCAACTGTCATTTGTTAATTGCACCTATTGCTTAGCACCTCCCACCCCAGTAATTTTGTGGTACCCACACCCGCCTAATGCAGACAAGTCGATGAAAGCAGGACAAATCTGTCTGTCACCACATTCTTACTAACCTTTAAAAAATCCTTATGTACGATTTTCTCGGATAAACTGCAGAACTTGCTGGGCCTCCAGAAGATCAGTATGCAAAAAATATTTCTTCCCATTGCCTTGAAATGTTGTAAACGCTGTGGGTTCCTTTGCTAACCTTATTTCATTCAGTTTCAACGCGGTCTCTTTTCTCCTCGCCAACATAGACATAGTTTCGACAATGAATGTTTCAGTAGCTACATTATAAAACATTTTGTGCACATAGACCTTCGTAATCCAGTGTAGTAAAAAAGTTGTCGAAGTCCCAGCCAGTAAAATAGTCGTGGCTATTGCCACTTTGCCAACAAGCGGGACACTTTCCTTTCCGTATAACATGAGAATTGGCGTGGCCACGACCGTGGCTAGAGCTGTTGAAAGCGAGAACACTTTCACGAGCTGTATAGAACGAGACAACGGGCCTTCGTACACCAATTGGCGGTCATTCGACGCTGCACCGTCCGACTTGTGCCGCAAAGCTTTCCCGCTTTGCCCTTTTCTAAACCAGGACGCGTAACTTGAAAAACCATTAATAGAACGCGATGTGTTTGCAGTTAATCCCAAGCTTGCTTTTTGTATGCTAAGTCCATGTTTTACATGAGAAATAAACGGGAAAAATACACGTGTATTTCTGCAAGTTGTTTTCAACATTTTGGACACGATGAAGCGCTAGATGGTACCGTTACACGAGGGAAACCGCTGTTTTTAAAAATGATGGCTCAGATTGTACCCTCTATATAAAACTGGAGTGATAGCTCGTTGGAAACTGTCACGTTTGTGACTGCACTAACTGCACTTGGTATTTGACTCGTTCTGCAAAGAACCATTTCATAAACGTGAACACAATCATTTAGCAGTATTTTTACATTATGTAATTGTAAATTTACATGCCACTTATTTCATTTATGTAATATTTAATTTATTTACGTTAATTAAGTTAACAAAGACGCATTAATAAAAATAAATACTGTACAGTGTACATTATGCACCTATCAATGTTTTCCCCCTGAGGGGGGGGTGCGGGCAACCCACGGGAATTTTGACATTTTTAAAATTTTGTTGTCAAAATCCCCACTGTTGGGCAAGGAATGGCTGTCAAAATTCCCCACTATATTCCTAAGATAACAAGGCACACACACGTTTTCCAATGCGAACATACAGTCTATACTGGTTTAAACTTGGTAAAAATTGAGACACTGTGTATAAAAGGCTATAAAATACCTTTTTCGATGAAACTTGATCGTGCTTCTCCGCCATACTTGTTACCAGGCCTTTCAATGTCAAAACCGCGCAAACTTTCAAGATGGCGGATGTCAAAATTTCCCGACTCTGGGAGTTGATGCGTAGGTCAAATTCCCCTCACTGGGGCTTCATAGTGTGGTCAAAGTCCCCTGGGTCGCCCGCACCCCCCCCCTCAGGGGGAAAACAATGATAGGTGCATTATACAATATCATAAAGGACACATCTCAATATTTACCGACATGAAGACGTCTGTCGAAGATAATATAATATGCATGTTTATGCATGTTATCACCTTGATATTTACCCATTCTATACTGAAGACCCATTTCCACTCAAGAAAAATTTTCACAGACAGAAAATTTTCCAGAAATATCATTGTTAAAAATTTTTTAACTTCGAAATTTTTTCCGAAGGAAAATTTGTGTCAGCCAATCACATTTTACAAAATTCTCTTTGTTCGGAAAATTTTCCTGAGTGGAAATGGGCGTTAAAAATAATAGATGGTCTAATACTGTACCAGTATTTCGAGTTATCCGAAATGTGAATAAGCCAATTATAGGCAATTCCAGCTAGACTATCTAGGCAAGAAGAACAAAATCCATCAGCACAGCTAGAAAGAGCATGTTAAAATTAGTAGATTGCAAAGTTTGGTTGTGAATTGTTCTACTAAAAATCGGGAAAATATAGCCCTGTGAAGTTCGCAAATTTTGTATAAATGGTTATTTTTCACGCGCGTAATACAAATCCGTATACACAATTTGCGAAACGTCACAGGGCTATATTTTCCTCATTATACAACATTTCGCAACCAAACATTGCAATTTTACTAATTTTAACATGCTCTATGCCTCTTTCTAGCTGTGCTGATGGATTTTGTTCTTCTTGCCTAGATAAAAATTTAGTCCATAGCTGGAATTGCCTATTCAGAGTGTCGACTGCGTATCCAAATGACTGACACGTTTGCGTCGGGATAAATTGTAGTTAAACTATAATAACATGGGGTTACATAGTAGCCAATACGTGAAATTAGAATATGCGTATGAAAGTATATTCAACAGTTCAATCATCATTAGTGAATACACAAAAAACACCAAGATTGAATAGTTTAATACTTTGATATGCTTCCATTCTCAGCTACATGTAAAAAGGCCCACATTTTCCACAGACAGAAAATTTTCCGAAAATATCATTGTTAAAGTTGAAAATTTTAAACTTCAAAACTTTTTCCGACGGAAAATTTGTGTCGGCCAATCACATTTTACAAAACTTTCTGTCCATGGAAATTTTTCCTACACAAACCGCGAGTCATATCCTGGATACCAGAGCCTCTTATTCTGGTACCCAGGGTACACGAGTCGAAACTCTTGCGTCTAATTGGCTCATTCGGTGGCAGCAAGCAAAAACGTGCGTTTATTCTTCCTAAGACTCCCGTAGTATATAACAGTTTCAATCATGAAATCAGAAACGTTTCCCAATTATTTTCCACTCTATTTTTAATGTCCACCATTTACGTGCCCGTTGGTCAACGCGCTCTTTCGGTGATCTTTGCAAAACTGCGCAATCCTCACGCAGGCTTCGCGCGCGATTTCCTCGGGACACGTGAGGACCACACGAATAAAGTTTGGATACTGGAAGCACTGCGAAAAAGAACAAAAACTTTAGGCCATTGCTGTAGCTAGGTCCAGCAGTTTTTAGCTCAATTATCCACAACTAACCCTAATTTATTCACAAATAACCCTAACCCAGAAATAACCTAACCCAAAATATCCCTATAATATCCTAAAATATCCCTCCGAAACCTCACAGGGAACCCAACGTATACAATACATATGGCAGCGGTCTTCAACACTGAGCTATATATTTACACAGACACGTGGTAGGCTCTCTCTGTGACCGGCCCTTTAATTTTTTCTTACCGTTTTCGCAAGCAACTTACCTTAGCAGGCAGACAAAACACAGATTGCTCTGACATCAATAGCTGTGTGAATTCAACATCATTTTCTATACCATACAACTTCTCAACTTTTATACCAATCTAAACGAAAAAAATCCAGACTCGCTGAGTGGTGTCTCATTTAATCATAAGTGCGATTCCCAAGTTTATTGTGAATAGTCCAAAAAAAGTACGTTTCTAAATTTGCAATATTGGGCGTAAAAATTGCAAAGCTGTCGGTTTGGGTACTTTACACGCGTAAAAATTGAGAAAATCAACAACTTGTTCCAGGTTGATATCAACAGGCGTGAACAAGGTTGTGCGGCTCACTATGAACAGTGTTGTCAACATGTCCGGCTACAGCATTGTTCAACTGTAACAACTTGGAACAACATGGTTGACAACTTGTTCATAGTTGGCCGCACAGCATTGTTCACGCCTGTCGATATCAACTTGGAACAACCTGTGCGTTTTTAGCCATGTAGTATTAAGCAACTTGCGAAGTTGGCTTTGCAATTTCTCCACGCCCAACATTTTATACTTGGAAACGTAATTGGGAATATTCACAATAAATTTGGGAACCACGTTTAGAAAAGTGACGATCGCGTAATCTTGGCTAAGACTTCATATGGTCATGGGGTTTGGAAGTGTTCTCCCACTGAATCCAGGCGGTGAAACTACTAAAGCGAAAGATTCCAGATTCATTACGAACCCCGATTCGCACCGGATTCTGGCACACGCAGTGATGTCGGGTTTGAGTCGTATCCGGACACTTGGAATCCGGAAAAAACACTTAGAATCCGAGACAATTCGACGTATAAACGGTTACCTTGAATCCGCAACTATAAGTACTTTGTTTGTTTGACTTGTTTGTGCAGTAAACTTGACTCTTTTTAGCGTCTGTTAAGTTTGCGAAAGGGGAATATAGATATTTAAAATTACTTCAACATGCATTTCATGCTAATTTATAGCTACGATTATAAACGTTTCAATTTGTTAGTTAACGTTCATCCAATGTAAACGCTCGTATCCCTGCCTCGTCCCCAGGCGCGCGCTATAAAAAGGATTTCACATACGAGTCACTGTATAAAAGGTTTACATGAAGTAGTGCATCGCGCGAAGGGGGATGGGATGTGAGCGTTCTTCTCCTCAACCCCATAAACCCCTGCGCTACTCGTTCGTCGCGATGCACTATACTTCATGTAAACCTAACCTAATATTGGTGCATGCTCAGGGACGCCGGAACGGTAATAAGGCAAAGGGGGGCAGACGCACACCAAGGGCACCTCCCCCCCCGTCACCAAAAATTTTCGGTTAGTGTACCATTTTAGGGGTCAAAAATTTTTTCCGGACATACCAAATTTTCCGTTAAGTTAAAAATTTTTTCTAAATTCCAAAAATTTTCTAACATTTTTGTAAATTAAACTCATTCTTTACCTAATTCACAATCATTCTTTACCTAATTCACAGTTAATTTACTTTCTCTGGGCCTATAAATTACCTGAATCTCATTTTTTCCAGAAAAAGCATCACTGGAAATGTGATTTATCACGTAGTATTTTACAATTAAAAGGGCACTTCTGCCCCCCCCCAAATGGCAAGAGGGGCAGCCGCTCCCCCCCCCCCTGCCCCCCAGTTCCGGCGTCCCTGTGCATGCTGGTGTCCAAGTTACGTCACCGTCGCCATGTTGGATGACATTGACAAAGGATCAGTTTACTTGTTTGCAATGCAAATATAATCCAACATGGCGAAAATCGCTTTGTCCTTTGAATTCCATGGGAGTGGTTGCACATCACCTCTATTAGTGACTCGTATGTGTAAACCGGTCGATGTATCCGAACACTCCAATCGGGAAAATTCAGAGAATCCAGAATCTTTTGTTCTTGTTTAAATGGAATCAAATTTTTTAGCTCCTGCCATATCATAACAAGGTTTAGCACCTGCTATATAACAAGCCAAACAAGGGCAAATGAATCCATTACAATTTCACGAGTTACGTACCAGCATGTACATTGCGCCATATGACTTGACTGGATAAAGTTCAGGAATACAAGACAAATTGTCGTAAAATATATCTGAAATATTCTGCAATAGAATATAAGACATCTTAGTAGGAACTTGTAATCACTGGGGGAAAATATAGTGAAAATCATACTGTGGAATTTGCGATTGCACATCGCAAATTATTAGAATCCATACTATTCCCATACTATATCCATAGTATATTCATGCTATTTCCATACTATATCCATAGTATATCCATACTATTCCCATACTATATCCATAGTATATTCATGCTATTTCCATACTATATCCATAGTATATCCATACTATTCCCATACTATATCCATAGTATATCCATACTATTCCCATACTATATCCATAGTATATCCATGCTATTTCCATCACTAAATCCATAGTATATCCATGCTATTTCCATACTATATCCACAGTATATCCATGCTATTTCCATACTATATCCATAGTATATCCATGCTATCTCCATACTATATCCACAGTATATCCATGCTATTTCCATACTATATCCATAGTATATCCATGCTATTTCCATACTATATCCACAGTATATCCATGCTATTTCCATACTATATCCATAGTATATCCATGCTATCTCCATACTATATCCATAGTATATCCATGCTATTTCCATACTATATCCACAGTATATCCATGCTATTTCCATACTATATCCATAGTATATCCATGCTATTTCCATACTATATCCACAGTATATCCATGCTATTTCCATACTATATCCATAGTATATCCATACTATTCCCATACTATATCCATAGTATATCCATGCTATTTCCATCACTAAATCCATAGTATACCCATGCTATTTCCATACTATATCCACAATATGGAAATTACAATTGGTATGAAAATTGGATTTCCTCATTTTCATGCTATTTTCAACCAAGATCGGCCATACAATTTCCATAGTAAGGATTTTGGAAAAAATTTCCAGTAAATTTTAAAATAAACCAAGCGCATCTATATCACTGAATATCTCTATTAGTTCTGAACTGTTCTCACTATAGAGTTCCAGTGAGATAGAATATAAGACAACTTAATACAGGAACTAAAATAAACTGAGCACACATCTATTAAATCTCACTCTCAGATGAGACATTTCTAAGAAATCTATATGCACGTACTTTCATAAGCGCGAGAGAACTTTCAAAGAATTGTGGTTTACATTCTGACAATATAGTTGGTAAAGCTGCTTGCAGTGGCGAACAAGGACCAAGAACTCTTTGAGAAAGACGACGTAAACCAGCTCTGATCTGAGAATTATAGATGTAAAAATTTCAAGTTTAGAAAATTAAATGAACTAGTTTTAAGATTTTTAAACTGGAAAGGTCATTCAATTCTAAACTGTTCTCTCTATAGAGGTCCGGTCAAAATCATCGTTTATGATTCTGCAGAGTTACTACAGGAGGAAAGCTAACCTAATAGTAACTTTATTTACACTGGATAGTTCAATCAGTTCCAAACTGTTCTACCTAGATATCTAGTGAAGGTCATCACTTATTGGTCCAGTAGTACTAGTCAGGGTCATCACTTATTGGTACTAACGCTGATGTCTAAACTGGTTCAAAACTTACCTCTTCACCAAAGGATTGATTTCTATCGTGAATCACAACCCAACCCAACCTCCAGCCAGGCACTAAAAATCTGTGAAAACATAAACGTTTTGGACAGTTAATTCAACCAAACCCGTTTGGGGGTGTACTGTAGTTTAAATATAAGAACTAGAGGTAGACTAGGTATAGTCCCAAGTACGATACTTGCCTCTTTGCAATACCACCGACAGTTAAAACAGGGACGTTCTTTGTCAAGCTTCCCATACTGTAGAATGGGCGTTCTCCAAATGTCTGTTGATAGAAAAATGGATACAAGTATTATCGCATTACTCTTTAACTACTGATGACATAGGATTGCTAAAGCCAAATCGAACCCTGTGTCTTGATACCTATATGAACAACTAGGGAAAACTGAAGAAGACTGCAGAAAAATCACACACTGGCACAGGGGGGATTGGGAATGGAAACCTTGAGAAAATTAGAGAAAGCTAAGGAGTATAACGAAAGCAGAGAAACAGAGAATATTGAGAAAAGCTAAGGAAGTCAAGGAAGACTTAGGGAAGATATGGGATTGGCAATAAGGAATGGTTAAATGCATGCTCAGTCCATCCCGATCGATAATTCAGTCCCGCTATGCAAATATTGCCATGTTTATAAACTATCAACACAATCAATTTGAAATGAATAATGATGAGTTAAAATTTGCATAGCAAAACCAAATCGTCGGGCTGGCTTTGCCACTGTGCATGCTATGGTTGGAGTTAGCGAAAAACAAAGGTAATCAAATTATTTATTATATCTAAGGTGAGAAAATGAAAAACTTACAACATGGGCGTAGACTTCATCACTCAATACAGGAACTTGATATCTTTCAGCAACTATAACAAGAAAATGTTTTTACCCATATCGTACCCGTTTTACCCACCATCAACACAATTACCATCACTACCACTATCATCAACACCATCATCACTACCATCACCATCTGCACCATGCACTGTCATGATCACCATCACCACCACACGTACCATCATGACCATCATTCACTACCACCACCATTACCACTACCACCACCCCCACCATACACTACCACAATCACCACCACACCACCATCATCACCACCATCATTACCACTACCATCATCATGCACTGCCAAGATCACCATCATCACCACACCATCACCACCACACTTACCATCTAAAATAGCCTCCAACTGTTCCTTGGTGTAAACAGACCCACAGGGATTCGAAGGATTGATAACAACTATCAGTCTTGTCCTGTCATCAATGAGTGAAGCCATCTCCTCTAAATCTGCTTCCCAACATTTCTCTGGCTGCGAGAAGAAAAAAAGTATGAGTTCGGTAATTATCTAGAGACTCTCTGGCACAGTAGTGCCAATCACGATGAAAATTTTAATTATATACAGATTGCAAGTTTAACAACTTACAATCAGCCCATATGATCGTGTTTCAATGTCCTTCGAACCAGAATGACATTTATATAAAGAAAATCCAGGTTTAGGAATGAGTATATTATCTCCTGGGTCGACTAAGACATCAATGGCCAACTCAATTGCACCAGAACACCCACTGGCAAGAATAACATCCTGAAAAAAAATTTAATTCAATGCTGCAGCGACTTCTCTTGATGAGTGAAATGGTCTGGTGTACTGTTAAACACAATGAAATCGTTTGGCTTTCAACAGAGTAATATACTAAAGCAGGAGCATATTATAGCATGGTTGCAGAAAAAGGCTAACTCAGAATTCAAAACTTAAAATTCACGAGTTATACAAGCCAACTACAAAAATCATGTGATGAAGGCAGTGGAGCTACCTTTCTAAACCTACAGTTACTGGATAATACTGCAAATTATAGGTATCTTTGAGGTATATAGCATGATGCTCAAGAGTCTCCCCAGCCTGCGCCTGCTACGCAGGCTAGAATCTACCGTATAGCGGTTACCAGTAAAATATTGTACGGCCTTTATGAAGTCATATGACGCACCATTGCGTTCGCCCGCGCGGGAGGAGAGTCCTATTCGAGTCACGCGAGCAATCGGTCGCGAGGACTGGCCACGTCAGATACACAGAACCCGGTAGCAAGCCGGTAGTGCAATATTTGTTCGCTCGTCTGTCCTCATCTAAATATGCTTCCAAACATTTCTCTGGCTGCAGATATCTCGTTCTGCGCGGACAAAAGCGATCGTAATAGAAAACAACCCAGTATGTCTTCGTCTCAAGCGCAAGTAGTGGAATCTCAATCTCTATCAATAACGATCAATCTTATAACTGGTGATTCTGGTTCAAGTGTTCAATTGGGCAGTGACTTGTCGAACTTATTGTCAACGTGTGGATAAATGCTGCTGCTCTATTAAGATACTCCAATGGGTAGTATGTGAAGAAATGCATCAGGACTGTGGCAAGCATTTTCATATGACAGTGATTCCAGTGCAACTCGACACGAAAACACGATGTCTGGCTGGCAGAAATTTAATTATTTCAAGATTGTTTCGTACGGCCACGAGTAACGGCATAAAGGTACAGTTAACTTCTCAAGTTACATTTAAGACAATTTAGAGATTTACCCCGCACGGCCCAACTTCAATGTTGATGAAACAAAGTAAAACTATTCTACTTGACAATAACGGTGAGATCGATAATATGGAAATTTTTATCACTGAATCCATAATATATTCACACATGACATCTCCATACTATATTCATCGTATTGAAATTGGCAATTAGTATGGAAATTGGAATTCCATAATATTTCCAACTAAGACTCGCATTATTTCCACACTAAGTAGTATTCATTGCACAACTATATATTGTCTATATTTATTCACATCCCGACATAAATAATTGAAACGGTTGTGCGAAAATTGATAAAGAACAGTATAAATTATAATGTCTAAATATATCTATCTTAATAATGATGGCTGTGGTGGTGATGACGATGGTGGTGATGACAATGATGAACTACTCTTATACTGATGGTTGTAAACTTGTGACAGATGAGGGTAGTGGTGATGGTTGAGTACAGTGTGGTGGTCATGTCAGGATGCTGGTCATGATTGTTCTTGCCATACTGTTGATAATGGTAGTGATGATTGTGATAATGGTAATGATGGCGGTGGTAATAATGGTGGTGGTCATAATGGTGGTGGTGATGATGGTAATGCTGGTGGTGGTAATAATGGTGGTGGTCATAATGGTGGTGGTAATGATGGTGGTGGTCATAATGGTGGTGGTAATGATGGTGGTGGTCATAATGGTGGTGGTAATGATGGTGGTGGT